AATATGAGTATACATAACTGGTGAGAGATTACATAAAATATATTTATTTGTTATCAGTGAATAAATACCAGATTATACCCTTGAGAAACGAAGGAAATTTATGTAGGCTAAGTCTGGATAAATTTGAATGCTAAGTTGGTATGTTTTTTAGCAGCCATTTATGGTTGTTAAATATGAAATGTGTCAGCAACTGGACAGGTTTAATATCTGGTAGATGTGCATCAATTACATCATGGATATCTTGTCAGTAAATACACTATTAAGTAATCTAATGGTACAAACTGAATTTAGCATTTCTTTTCTACCTCCAATTATATTCATTATTTTAGAAGCATAACCCCCACCTTTGTGGAATGTTACTAGAATTGTCAATGTACCTGTTTGTATAAGTCTGTATAATAGACTTGGTAGAAAGTGTTTGAAGAAATTCAATGCTTAAGATTTGTATGGCTGCATTGATTTTTTGTGACTGTTTTATGGAATCAAATATACTGAACGGGGAAGATAAAAATTTGTGTGCTTGCCTTTCCTTTTTTTTCTAAAGATGATTTTTTAAAAATCATAGGTTTATAGTTGAGGTAGGTATTCCATCTGATTCGAGGGTTCATGGTTAACATGAGAAACCTACTAAGCACTTATTTAGTAAGTTATATTTATTTTTCACAGTTTTTCACATGCAATATAGATAATTTCGTTCCTAGAGATAATCTTTCTTCATAGTGGACATAGGAACACATTTTTTTCTCTCCTTTACTTTCATTTTAAAACCACACTCAAAAATTCTCTTTGAATTTTCCTTTATATCTGATAACTTTAATTATTTCTTAAGAAGTGTTAAAAGAGTTATCCATCTTTACTGTACCTATTAGACAATGAATATTTTATAATTGACCTAATGTAATTTGCTAAATTAAATTCAATTTGTTTATTCAGCATTTCAGTATGCATCTACTATGCACATGGCATATTTATGTTGCTAGGCTCATTGAGGGCTCCAGACGTGAATCACAAGAAGGTCACTGTCTCAATAAGTTTATGAGAAAAGATGAGTACAAATAACTCTAAGCAATGTGGAGTATGGTAAAGCCATAAAAAGGAAGTTTGAAGAAGGTTACACTAATGAGAGAAGCTTTTCTGGAGAGGTGGCACTTTGTAGCATATGTCCATGTCCTCAGCTGCCATCCATAAAACCCACCCGAAGTGGAAGGACGTTCTCTGATCCTCTCCTCGGGGCACTAACACCCACTGTCATTAGGGTCCAATTCTTTCTAAACCTGGGAATTATTTGCAACATCATGTGTTTCTCAAGACAACAGTCTATTAAAACAACAAATAACACTAACAGGTTTTTGAAATCCATCTCTTCACATTTTTCTTGTTTTAGCACAGGTTGATTTTAGAGATAAAATCATTAGGTATAAAGTTTAGAACTAAATTGCAGCAACATTCTAGGTGGGTGATAATTCATTATTATCACATTATAATGGCATGGCCCGAGAATTCTCATTTACTCCACAGGACTGCCCAATGAACAGTTGAGCCAACATAATCAGAGGTGCAAGCTCATGGTGCTTATTGGTGATTCAGTGAATTCTGGGAACCTGGGTCTATATTTATATCAGCATTTCTTATTTCAGTGTAGCCAGGTGGTCTGTCGATACACTGTATGACTGGTTATTCTCTCTTAATAAACATAGATAGAGCTCCACAAACTGAAATTACTGATTTTGGTTTACTATCTTTTCTTTCTTTCTATTTTTCTTTTTTTTTTAGAGGCAAGGTCTCACTCTGTTGCCAAGGCTGGAGTGCAGTGATGTGATCGTAGCTTACTCCAGCCTTGAATCCCTGAGTACAAGTGATCCTCCTGCCTCCAGTCTCCCAAAGAGCTGGGATTACAGACATGAGCCACCATGCCTGGTCCTACCATCTTTGTTATGTGTACTTTTTTATGATTAAAACTAGTTGCCACCTTAAATTAACATTTTAAAAGAAAGAAAATATTTACTTCTGAAATTGCATTATTCCTTTACCCATTTTTTATTAAGAAAGTTTTAGTCACATTGTAGAAGGATTATTTTCTAGTTTATAGAGCTAATATATTTATTTTGCAACTATTTACATAGAAAGGAACTCTGAAATATCTGGAGAAGTGGTTTCCTTTTTAAAAATACTGTACTATATTGTGTTCTGGTGCTTGAAATTTGGCTAACCATCTGAGTTAGTAAAAAGTATATATGTATTTTAATATACTGTACACTCGTTTGTCAGTAAAAGATGAATTTTAAAAAATAAATATGCATAAAACCCAAAGTAAATTGTCATAACAAAATTTACACCTAATACATTGTTTTGTAGATGAACTTTTATGCCTCTGTCAATTCTGCTGAAATAGTCAATTACTTCTTTATAAGAAATATCTGAACACCCTCAAAGAATAATATGGAATAATGATCTGTATGATTTTAACTTTTCCATGAATGAAAATTGCTAAAATGTCAAAGGACCATAAAGTCCCAACTTAGAAACTTTACCTTACGTTGTTAAGGAAATCTGTCCAATTTATTTGTGGATTCTATAGGACTTGGGATGGGAACATGAAATATAGGTTATCAAATGTCCTGTATCTGCATGTGTGACCCAGTTAGTTCACGAGACAGGCATTTATTAAGTACCTGTTTTATCCCAGATTAGTTATTGGTAGTATCCAAATGAATAAGGTAAAAAATTGCTGTTTTTATTTGATTCACATATTTATGTAAACTATATTATATAGTATTTTTTTATTTCAAAGTGGACAGATTGGAGCCATATTTGGGGCTAAGAGGCATTCAGAATACATCTATAATGTAGCAAATCTGGCCATTCCTGTGTTAAGCTGTGCAGATGGGAAACATGCACAGGGAAAAATGATAGAAGATTTAAAACACATTTACATGGGTAAACTTCTATCCTTCTTATTAGAATAGAAAAAACATGGTAAATCTACATTCAGCAATTTCATTAATGGCCTAGAGTAAGACAGCAAACAGCCTATTAATTAATTCATCAATGACTTTAAATTCAGAGGTGCTGCAAACATCACCATGGACAGAGAAATGATGCCATAAGAGAGGAGAAAAGAAAAAGAAAAACTGAGCCCGGAATGAAGCAGAAAGCATTCATGAAGTTAGCTTGGTGCTCATAATAAAAGGCCTCCAAATTATTAAATACATAATCTACACTCAATAATATCTGCATGGCAGAGAAGCACATGCTTGGAAATGGAGATATCAAATGATACCTAAATCTAGTTATGTTTATGAAAACAAATAGGTAAAGAAGAAAAGTAAGACCTGTGTATCTTGGCACCCAACTTATTAAGTCAAATTCTTACTCAAGGGTCAGGTATGGTGGTTCACGACTATAATCCCAGAGCTTAAGGAGGCCAAGTTGAGAAGATCACTTGAGGCCAGCCTGGATAACACAGCAAGACCCCATCTCTAAAAAATTTGTTTTCCAATTAGCTAGTCCTGGTGGCATACACCTATAATCCTAGCTACTTAGGAGGCTGAAGCATGAGGATTGCTTGAGCCCAGTGGTTCAAGGCTACAGTAAGCTATGATCAGGCCACTGTACTCCAGCCTTGGTGACTGAACAAGAACCTGTCTCAAAAACAAAAATTCTCCCTCTAAAAGAAATATACAATTCACTTAAAATTGATAAGATAAGGAGGTCTTCGTATTATACCATAGATGAGGTATTTAAAAATACTTAGCTTTCCTTTTTCATATAAGAGACACAGTTGGCCTCTACATTCCTATGTGGACAGCCTATGTGTTATGACCAATTTTCTGTCTATGTTTAGTTGTTTTGACCTGAGAGAAAAGCTGGATTTTACTTGGTTTAGAAAATACAGGGGAACAGGATGTCTTAATTGTCCTGCTATGGTGCTCATGGATCTTTCTGTTCATTCCCTTCTGCCCCAGAGTGTGAGCAGCTGGCTTTGCAGCTGTGAACAGGGTTTGGGACATCTCCCTATGGGGTAGACATAAATCTTGCCACAAGGATGCAGACAGAGGTTTATTGTTTTTGTTTTCTGCTAGATTTTTCCATTGCAAGACTCTTGTTGGAACTGAAGAAGAAAACCATACTCACCAAAAAGTATTTACCCCTCTTTCACTAATGCATGTTCTTTGCCTCTTTCTTTCAGATTTCAGAAAGAGGCCCTTTTAAGTTTAAGCAGTAATTCAAATAAGCATTATTTCTTTACCTTTTTTAATCTGTTGGTCTGTGAACTACAAAATTGGTTTCTTCATCTTTGTTCAAGATGGCGTGCATTCAGTGTGACAAGAAGGGCTGGTAGCAACCTAACTTGCCACCAAACAAGCTTATGCCTTCAGCAGCTGTAACCAAACTTATGCTACATGATGTTTGCTTTGATTTCCTCGTCATAACACCTATCCCCTTATGCCTGGATCTGCTAACACAATTTTCACTCCCAGAAGTGAGCATTCCAAACCTGTAAAGATCAGAAGTAAACTCAGCAGTTTAGTCTAATCCTATAACGATGGAGTATAACTAATCTCTCATTACAGAATTACTATAGGAAATACTTTATAAAGAGTAAACACAGTTCAAGATGGAGTAAAAGTGCCACGATATCCATTGTATAATTCTCAAAATTACATAAACAGATGGAGTTCTGTGTGAGTGGCCTTTTCCAAAACAAGAAGAAGATAATCCAGTGGGAAGTCAATACTAATTTAGCTTTGCCTTCATTACTCATACTCTCATTGTTTATTGCTGAACTGAGTCTAATATAATGACATCCATCCACTGGATGGTAATTAGATCTTAAAAGAAATAGTGAAAGTTCTAAGGACTCCAAGAAATGGCATGGCAATAATTCATTCTACGTATAATTATTTTTCTTGTTTGGACTTGTTGAGTCTGATTGCCTAGAGAAGAAATGCAGAAATGGTTGTCGTTAAGGCACTAATACTGTTACTCTGCTCTGTCAGGTGTGTTGTAGAAGACAAGAACTCAAAGGTGGCCTGGTTGAACCGTTCTGGCATCATTTTTGCTGGACATGACAAGTGGTCTCTGGACCCGCGGGTTGAGCTGGAGAAACGCCATTCTCTGGAATACAGCCTCCGAATCCAGAAGGTGGATGTCTATGATGAGGGTTCCTACACTTGCTCAGTTCAGACACAGCATGAGCCCAAGACCTCCCAAGTTTACTTGATCGTACAAGGTAAGGAAAGTGTGTGATACAAGGATAGTAAGAAAGAGGTGGGATTTGAAGAGTAATAATGTACAAAATATTTGCAGAGTCCTTTATGAAAAGAAATATTTTCAAAGATACTATTGCTCTTAAGCATCAATTTTCTGTCTGGAAAGAGTCTTAAAATGAGAGGACCAAAACAATATAGAGGGTATACTCCTGTTACTGTGAGCCAGTACCATTGGTGAAAATGTTTTCACCCAGCACTGAGTGTGAAAACACACAGCAAAAGCCACAGCTGATGGAACAAGGTAAGTCAGGATACCAGAACACACAGAATGAATGCTTAGAGCCATATGAAGTACACTTTTCCACTCAATTAAGTACCAGATGCTTTGCTGAGTTGAAGAACGTCTGGGCTTATCTGTCCTCACCCTGAAGATCATCACTGATTATCTTTCTTTTATGATAGCAATATTCTTTGGAAAAATAAAATTTTCCAGAGGACTTTTAAATTTTATCAGCAGTCCAGGTTTCCATGTGGTTTGTATCTCTACTTAGCGACAAGTTACTCATGATCAAATCCAGTGACAACGATCTGCAAAGTCATTGGGGACAATTTGCTTCTACACTGGGGTTTCCAAGGGCATATCTGAGTCATAGTTTTATGGGATAAAAATCCTAAATGGCATTCACATGCCCCCAAACTATTGCTCTGTTGGGTTTCTTTCCTTATAATTGCAGAATGAGAACAAAGCTGATCAGCTGCACAATTTTTTGCAAGTGAAGTCCAACCACCAGCAGTTTCAGTGTATCTATCAGGAAAGATCTAAGCACTAACAAACATTAGAGCTGTGTTCATGTATTCTTGATTTATAATTTTATGTAAATTTCATGCAAATTAGGCATGGCCCTAGGGCTCCTGTCAAGGTTCCAATGCAGTCAGTGGTGTGGCAAAGTTTGACTGTAGCTTCTATTAATATGTTATGGAATTGATTATCGCAACATTTAAATTATTGCTTTCCCAACTCCTCTGATTAATAGATTGAAACTGGAATCAAATACATCAGAGACTGCCTGGTGCAGGGGTGTTTTAGTCATGTGACCTCTATTTTGGTCCATTTGCAATGGCGGACAGCTTCATTTTATTGTCTGTGAAAAGCATGTCTAGTAGCTTGTAAAGTTCCAATCACAGTCAAAGCATAGGATGCTACTCTTGCAGCTTTGTAGAGAGGGCTTAAGCTCCATTACAAGAGACACACCAGGGTATGGATCTTAGGCATCCTATTTAAATTTGTAAACATAACTAGAAATACATTAATATGTCAAAGGGTTAATTTACCAACTCTCTCAAAATAAATACATGCACACATTTATTCACACACACACACCAAAACAATATAAAAAATTCTACTAAATTCAATGGCAGAAGGAGAGATAACTAGTTTACTTAGGACATCTTAGAACCGATTTTACCTACTGACCAATTATTGAGATTATCTTGTGATTTTTCCTCTTTGATTTCTGAGGTAAGATTATTTATTCATATATTTCTTTATACTGGATTATGCCTGAAAAAATTCCTTGATTATATTACGATGTTTCTACACAACTTTAGCTTTGTGGCCTTTGATACCACTAAAAAGCCACTAGAGACTGTAACTAGTAATTGTGTATTGTCCTATGCTGAATAAATTTGACAACCTAAGCATTATATTCCTTGGTTTCTAGATGAGCAAACAGAAGTTTATTAAATTTAGATTTCTTGCTCAAGGTCACAAGACAGTTCAGAGAATAGTTGAGTGCCAAGCAGATCTAGCAACCTAAAGCACTTTCCACTGGAATGGAGATTTTTGGGTTTTTGCTTAAAAACAAAAATGCCATTACTTAAGATTAATTTAAGGATTTATAGTTAAGAATTTATATTGAAGTCTGAGCTCTTAGCACCAGATGCCCAATGTTACTCCTCTTTTTCTTATTTACCTTTGCATTCTTAAGCTACAAACGTGATCATCTCTCAAGGGTTAGAACTAAAACTATGTTGGATACTGCATGTACCTTCCTGACACGGCAGTGCAAGTGAAATTAAATTTAACTTCCGGATGGAGAACAACCTACTGACTGCCAAGTACTGTTTATCTACTGTTATCTACTGTCTTATTTAATTCTAGTAATATTACTTTTAAATAGATGTTTATCACTTTGTTTTATATATATGCAAAAGCTTAAAGTTCAGAGACAGGAAGGAGCCTGCCCAAAGCACTCTGATGGCTTAGAACAGGGTTTTAAACCCACGTTTGTCTGATTAAAGATATTATTGTATTTTATTCCCAGCCACATTGTTTTGACAGAAAAAATCAGCAACGAAGCTTTTACTTACAGGGGGGATGAAGAAAGCATGGTCTCTTCCTTAAGCCTGAGTCACCAAGGGAAATTTTCGGACAATTACATACATATTAGATAATTTGATCTCAAGCACCAGATGGCTGAATCACATTGCCTTGGGGCATTCAGCCTTATGACCATCAGAGGTTCCAGCCATTCACACTGTTCCCATTAATTTCTACTCCATTCTTTAACTCCACATTGTTTTCATCACATCAAAGATATTACTAGGCCGGGTGTGGTAGCTCACGCCTGTAATCCAAGCACTTTGGAGGCCAACGCGGGCGGATCACCTGAGGTTGGGCCAAGACCAGCCTGACCAACATGGTGAAACCCCGTATTTAAAAATTAAAAAAAAAAGGCCGGGCGCGGTGGCTCAAGCCTGTAATCCCAGCACTTTGGGAGGCCGAGGCGAGTGGATCACGAGGTCAACAGATCGAGACTATCCTGGTCAACATGGTGAAACCCCGTCTCTACTAAAAATTACAAAAAATTAGCTGGGCACGGTGGCGCGTGCCTGTAATCCCAGCTACTCAGGAGGCTGAGGCAGGAGAATTGCCTGAACCCAGGAGGCGGAGGTTGCGGTGAGCCGAGACTGCGCCATTGCACTCCAGCCTGGGTAACAAGAGCGAAACTCCGTCTCAAAAAAAAAAAAAAAAAAAAAAAAAAAATTAAAAAAAAAAGATATTACTAATAGGAATGACTGACATCTCCCTTTTCCCTAACCTCAGGGCATCTTTCTTTAGAATCTAAGATACTTTTGATTTTTTATGTCCTGCCTCGATCACCCTCCATGGTTTCTGAAAATGGAGTTCAACTAATCATTATGTAAATACTATATTCCTTTCCTTACACAACAGTGAGGCCACCCTGAGCTCAAAGGTGCTATGAGATATCACTAAAGAATAGCAGTTTAGAAGGTGGGCTGTGCAGACTTGCATTGCATGATTCAAATCTGTTTTAATTCTTGCTATTTAAATATACTTTGGGGGTAAACCACTTAATTTCTCTAAGGCTTAGTTTTGTCATAAGGAAAATGTACATAAAACTAACATTTTAAATCCTCCAAAATTTATTTTAAGGATTAAATTAGATAATCTCTTAAACTTCTAGTCCAGTGTCTAGAGATCATGTTTTCTTACCCAGTAGGCTAATGATATTGATAATAATAGTGTTAATGATGATGATGAATACCATGATGCTGCTGGTGCTCCAGTGTTTCCATAAAGCTCACTCCTGTCCTAAGGTGCTACCCAGAGTCTAACAGATGCCTTTACTTATTGCCTACTATTCTTGAAGTAGGCTCTTTCAGTTTTTATTTCGGGTCCCTCTAGCCAATTTTTTCAGCTGTCCTTTTCCTTAGCATCCAGTTTTCAGCTTTACTTCCTTAAGATTCTAGAGAACATCTTTTTTAAAAAATTATTTTAGGTTTGTGTGGTACACAGATAAACACATGTCATGGGGGTTGGCTGTACATACTATTGTAACACCCAGGTATTAAGTACCCAACAGTTACCTTTTTTTATCCTCTCTCTCCTCCCACCCTCCACCCTCAAATAGACCTCAGTGTCTGTTGTTTCCTTCTCTGTGTTCATAAGTTCTTATCATTTAGCTCCCACTTATAAGTTAGAACATATGGTTTTTGGTTCTCTGTTTCAGCATTCGTTTGCTAAGGATGATAGCCTCTAGCTCCACCTGTGTATTTGAAAGACAATCTTGTTCTTTTTTATGGCTGCATAATATTTCATGGTATGTATGTACCACATTTCCTTTATCCAGTCTGTCATTGATGGGCACTTAGGTTGATTCCATGTTATTGCTATTGTGAACACTGCTGCAATGAACATTCACAGCATTCTACCATAGAGAGCTTCTTAAACTAACACTTCTAGATATGATTCTTGTATAGCCTTCAGCAAAGGCAACATGTTGGTTTGCTATGCTTGTGAAAATGCAGATTTTGGAGAACCACAACCAGAACAATGGAATCAGAATTTTGAAAAATGGAACCTAAACTTCAAATCATGCTCTGCAGGTGATTCAGATGCACACACAAAAATCAAGAACTACTACTCTAAGGATCTAAGCAATCAGTGAGAGGCATCTACTGCTGCCTGCCTGCTCATTTTCCTATATGACATTGAATCAAACTATGTATAAAATTCTACAGAACAGGTACTAGAGCCTTATAATAGTAAAAAATATAAAATATCTGTGGACTCATCAAAAACATTGATTAATCTCATGTGCTTGAGCCCGGGGAATACTGGGTCCAAAAACTACAGTATTTGTTTTAAATGTTACATTAAAAACTTTCATGTGTGTGTGAATACAAAGGAAATTCTGACATGACAACATTTTTAAATGTGAATCTTATTTTTAAATATCCCATTCACCATACTTTACAACACATCTTTTATCATATTTTCTATTTATGTATTTATATATTCTATTTATGTTAAGTTGGTACCAATAATAGAGTGGTCATTTTTATGTTGAATCTTTTGCTCCAATTTTTATACTATTCTAATTTGGTTAATGTTGTTTTTAAAATAGCCTAATCTGCAAATACTAATATTGGAGATGATTTTTTTTAACATTTTGAAGTTTTAAAATGTATTTCTAAATAAAGACTTAAATTTCAC